ATTAGTTTCCAGATGACTTGTACCCGATATTCTAATTTACACGCATTCAGAATCAGTTTCCAGATGACTTGTACCCGATATTCTAACTTACACACATTCAGAATCAGTTTCCAGATGGCTTGTACCCGATATTTTAATTTACACACATTCAGAATCAGTTTCTAGATGATTTGTACCCGATATTTTAATTTACACACATTCAGAATCAGTTTCTAGATGACTTGTACCCGATATTTTAATTTACACACATTCAGAATCAGTTTCCAGATGACTTGTACCCGATATTTTAATTTACATACATTTAAAATTAGTTTCCAGATGACTTATATCCAATTATTTAATTTACTCACATTCCAAATCAGTTTTCTTTGTTACGATCAGGACAAGTGATAATGGTTTTAATACGTTTTTCCTATAGTTTTCACTTTCATCATCATCATTTTAGTGAAAGACTTTGTTTGCTCTTGTAACATTAAAGATTTTACTGTATTTTAAATCAAGTAAGGTTCAAAGTTGCATTAACACACACACTTCCAATTCTTATCAATCTACAAATTTCTGTTTATTAAAATTTTTCTTGGCTTCTAATTAAAAATCCAGGAACTCTTACGTCGAAGTAAGCTTAAATGGGTTAAACCTCAAAATGCCAACTTGTCTTTATAAAGCTTAACACCAGCGGGGTCGACATATTGTTGAATAATTCTATGTTTTGTCTCTTACAACATTCAGTGAAAAGGACTGACCAGAAAAAAAACAAAACAGAATGAAGTCATTAATTTACTATTTAAGCTACTTCGCCCTCCCGTGGCGCAGCGGCATGTCTGCGGACTTACAACGCTAGAATTCGGGTTTCGATACCCGTGGTGGGCAGAGCACAGAGATCTCATTGTGTGGCTTTGTTTGCCCCCCAGTATCACAGCAGTATGTCTGCAGAATTACAACGCTAGAATTCGGGTTTCGATACCCGTAGTGGGCAGAGCACAGAGATCTCATTGTGTGGCTTTGTTTGCCCCCCAGTATCACAGCAGTATGTCTGCAGAATTACAACGCTAGAATCCGGGTTTTGATACCCGTAGTGGGCAGAGCACAGATAGCCCATTGTGTAGCTTTCTGCTTAACTTCAAAAACAAAACAAAAACAACATTAATTTTCTATTTAAGCTACTTCGCCCCCAGTGGCACAGCGGTATGTCTGCGGACTTACAACGCTAGAATTCGGGTTTCTATACCCATATTCTAGCATTGTAAGTCCGCAGACATACCTCTGTGCCACTGGGGGGCTTCAGTGGTTGTAGGATTGCTTAATTAAAGAATATTACTCCGTTTTGTTTATTATTAATTTACTCCGTTTTGACAAAAGAGATGGCCTGGTGCTCGAATTGTAATCTGCAGGTTCTGGGTTCGAATCTCTATCATTGAACATACTCGGCCTTTCAGCCGTGGGGTTTTATAACGTGACGGCCAATCTCAATATTTGTTGGTAAAAGAGTAGTCCAAGAGTTGGCGGTGGGTGTTGTTGCCTAGTCGCCTTCCCTCTAGTCTATCGCTGCTAAATTAAGGACGGTTAGCCCTAGAGTAGCTTTACTGGAAAATCGGAACAACACAAATAAAGACGTGTCGTTGTTACTATTTAGAATAGAGTGGTGCTATACATGATTGTCATGTTTTCAGCTTCTAAAGAGAGTAAAACAAGTTAGAAGTAATCTTATCGCTAGGCCAATAAAACTGAATATAATCCAACTACATCTCGCAAGCCAAAGACAAACACTTCTTAAAAGTGCAGTTGGATATGTTAACACTACCGCTTAAGAAGGAACGTATTAAAACACAAACTCACCAAAGAAAGTCAGCAATATGAAAAGAACACTCTTCATTTCCATTTGCTTCGTGCTAATCTTCTCACAAGCACCACAGCAATTCCCGTTTTTCCCACAAGTGTATTTCGTATTAATCCTGTGGTGTCGCTGTGAATTTTAATTGGTTCAGAAACGCATGGCGTGTAGAAACGGCAAGTCTGCAATCCTTGTTTTATTTTCTGTTGCTGATCAAACACTGGAAATAATAATTGACACGTCTTTTTTTTATTGCTAGGAATTTTAACAAGCCTTGTAGATTAAGTCACACGAGTTACACGCTATAAGTGTTAGTAGTTAATCGTATTATGTGAAGTCACCATATTTGGAACCTGCCCTAGATATTAATTGTGACGAAGAAATCCAGATGTAGATAACCACTTGGTTCTACGGTTGTTATCTTGCATCCAAAAACATCCAGTTAACAGTTATTAACTAGCTTTCATTTGGCACTAGCTATGCGTCCAGAAAAAGGATTATAGCATAAATAATCAGGCTACACTTCGGGACTAAATGTCCACACTTCACAGTTACTGGTCAGCTCAAATATCTCTGTAGTGGTCAAATAAAATGGAAAACAAAACACTTGTCCCAAGATATACAGGTTTTAAATACAAAGTTCTGCTGTGCTTGTAGGTACCAAACTAACAAATAAGTATATATTTTGCCAGAAAACTCGTTAAAATAAGGCAACAGGAAGCTTTCTGTAGAATTCATAAAACCGGATTTTCTAAATACTGGTTGAATCATTTTCGATAGGTGGGGTTCGTTGTTCTCTGTGTCTAACAATTCGGATGGCGGGAAGTCTAAATAATAAAACAATGGACACAACAGGTAGGGAAGACGTAGTTTCATGTTTAGCTTGGCCTTAAACTGAAATGTAGTACTGAATCCCTCCATCCGTGATTCCATCACTTCCGGCATAAAGTGCGCAGTGCGACAGTTGTCTTTTCTTTTTTATTCGTTTCCGGGGTTTTCTCTGTCGTGTAAATGTTAGTGAATCTAGGGACGGCTGACTCATTGACTGGTTGCTATTATAAAGGAACTAATACGTAAAAATAAACTGTAATAAGTTGGAGAATAATGACATCCTGCGTTGAATGCTGCAAGGTACTAGCAAAATAATCAGCTATATACAACGTATGTATATTATTATGGCCTTTTAGAAACGATTCAATCTGTATATATATGTAATCAAATCTGCAGGGCAACGACATTTCGCACGAGAGGTTTGATTATTTTAAAGTACTAAAATGTCGTTGTTGTAGTCAAATTGATAAAATGAATATGTTTGTGAACTCTAATGATTTGCCGTGGAGAGAAAAAAGTCATTGAAATCTGCAAAATGAGCCTAATACAGGGTTAATATACCCAAAAATACAATATATATTCGTGAATTAAGGAATTGTTTTGATACAGTAAACAGTAACAAAAAATGTGCCTAATATCAGTAAGAAGAGTAATCTGAAAACGAGGCTCTAACATAAAATAGTATTGAGATAATAAACTGCAATGATGAGAAACAGAACATTGGAAACAATCTGAGTAACTAGTAGGTAGGTAAGACGGTCCACTTAACGTGTAAACAGAACATGGTAAACAATCTGAGTAACTAGTAGGTAGATAAGACGGTACACTTCACGTGTAGACAGAACACTGGAAACAATCTGAGTAACTAGTAGGCAGGTAAGACGGTCCTCTTCACGTGTAGACAAAACACTGTAAACAATCTGAGTAACTAGTAGGTAGGTAAGACGGTCCACTTCACGTGTACACAGTACATTTGAAACAATCTGAGTAACCAGTAGGTAGGTAAGACGGTCCACTTAACGTGTAGACAGTACATTTGAAACAATCTGAGTAACTAGTAGCTTGGAAAGACGGTCCACTTAACGTGTATACAGTATATTGGAAACATTTTGAGTGACTAGTAGCTAGGTAAGACGGTCCAATTAACGTGTAGACAGTACATTAGAAATATTTTGAGTGACTAGTAGCTTAGTAAGTCGATCCTATTAACGTATAGGCAGTACATTAGAAACATTTTGAGTGACTAATAGCTAGGTAAGACGGTCCCATTAACGTGTAGACAGTACATTAGAAACATTTTGAATGACTAGTAGTTAGGTAAGACGGTTTACTGTGTACACAGTACATTAGAAATATCCTGAGGAATTATTAGTTAGGTAAGACGATTTCCCAAAATATGTTTTTCAAGAAATTACTAACGCCCTAGTTAAAATTGTGCTTATTATAGATTTTATTGTTTTTCCGCAGGAAAGTTGCGCTCTGTTTGGATAATTTGAAAAATAATCTATTTGCATCGAAACTTCGAAAAATGTAAAGGCTTTCCACAAATAACAATATCTGATAAAAATTCTTGAAGTTTAGAGTGAATTTATTTCAATATTGTAATTCATTTAATTTAAAACAGGAAGTACGCAATGCCAAATTTTGACAAATGGTATTCACTGAAGTGCTTAAGGGGGATATTTTATTTTTTCTATTAAAATCATTTTTGAAATTAGAGAGAATTTTTTCTAGTTTTGCCATAATTTTATTTTGTATTAAACCTGTAAGAACGGAATGACAGATTTAGATATAAGGTTTTAACTGAACTACTTAAGTTGCAATATAGTGTTTTTGTAATAATTTATATACCATCGGGGGATTTTAGATTCTTTTGTTCTAAAATGTACCCTTTTTTCAAAGACGTTCAAAATGGATATCCTTTCATCAAAAGGCCCGGCATGGCCAGGTGGTTAAGGCACTCGACTCGCAATCTGAGGGTCGCGGGTTC